TGTTCTAGGGAAAATGCTTAAATCTATTATTAAGGAGTTCAGAATAGAGTGCTTAGAAAATCTCAGTGTAATCAATCAGCACAGGTTAGTGAAAGGGGAATCATGTTTGACCAAGTTATTGCAGTTCTTTTAGGAGATAACAAATAGTGTAGATGAAGTCAAACATATAGATACGTGATACCAAGATTTCCAGAAGCTGTTTGGAAAGATGTCACATCAAAGGTTACTACACAAAATAATACCGTGTGGCAGAAGGTATCACATTAGCATGAGTACAGGATTGGTTAGCTAACAGGAAACAAACTGGAGGTATAAATGTGCCATTTTCAGGTTTTGAAGATGTGATAAGTGGAGTGCTAAAGGGATCAATGCTGGAAACTCAACTATTTATAATTTATAGCAATGACTTGGACGAAGGGACCAAACGTATGGTTGCTAAATTTGCTGATGACACAATATGTGGAAGGGGAAATTGTGAACAAGACATAAGGAGTCTGGGATATAGATAGGTTAAATGAATGGGCAAAAATTCGGCAAATGGAATATAATATGGGAAAATGTGAACTTATCCACTCTGACAGAAAAATATAAAAGCAGCATATTATATAAATGGAGAGAAATTGCATATCTCAGAGGAACAGGGTTGCGAATATGATATGAGTCACAAAATGATAGCCTGCACATGCTGCAACTGAGTAAGAAGGTAATCATAATTTATCCTTTATTGCAAACAGAATGAAACCTAAAAGTATGGATGTTTAATTACAGTTGTAACGAATGCCGATGAGGCCTCATCTGGATCAGTATGCACAATTTTGGCCTTCTTATTAAGAAAGGGTGTAAAAGTGTTAGAATATGCAAAAATGTTTACTTTAGTGATACATGGGATGGTGTGATTATCTTATGAACAGGCAAAGTTGTATCTACTGGAGTTTAGAAGAATGAGATGTGATCTGATTAAAATGTGTAAAATCCTGAAAGAGCTTGAAAAGGTGGATGCTGAAAAATATTCAGAAAGGGTCTAGGCCTGAAACGTCAGCCTTCCTGCTCCTCTGATGCTGCTTGGCCTGCTGTGTTCATCCATCTCTACACCTTGTTATCTCAGATTCTCCAGCATCTGCAGTTCCTACTATCCCTGCTGAAAAATATTTTCTCTTTTGGGAGAGAATAAAACCAGAGGACACCATTTAAAAATAAGATGTTGCCCATTTAAAACAGAAATGTGAATTATTTTTCTCTCGTAGGAGCATGAGCCAATTTCCCAGAAATTGGTGGAAAGAGGGTCTTAGAATATCCTTAATTCAGAGGCAGATAAATTCTTGACTAACAAGGGAGTCAAAGAATATTAGGGTAGGCAGGAAAGTGGAGTTAAGGCTATAGTCAGATTAGCAGTGATTTTATTAAATGGCTGTGCAGTCTTGAACAGGCAAGTGGTCTACTCATACTCCTAACTTGTATGTTAGTTTCTTCGTAAGGCAGGGAAATGGAGTATATTTCAATTGGATATCATCTGGTGAACAGTGTTCACAACATACTTCAGTTTAGAACAATTAAGGAAAGAGATGACAAAATATTGAAGGTAAGAATGCTCAATTGGGAAGAGCTCATTTCAGTGATCTAAGAAGGGACCCAGTGTAAATAAATTGGAAAAGATTTCGAAGTAAAGCAGCTACAAAAGTAATGAGAAATATTTAGGAAAGAAACATTTCAGGTACAAACCAGACAATCCTTTGAAAGGAAAAGGTAGAGCATCTAGTGCTAGTGGGCTTTGCAAAATGAAGAATATAGAAGTTAAAATGAAACAGAAAAGAGAAGCCTGTGACAAATATCAGGAGCAAGATATAGTTGATGACAAAAAATATCGGGGAAGTAGAGCGGGGAACTAAAAAAGCTAACATGGAGGTAAAGATTAGTAATGAATATTAAGAGACAATGTTTAAATGTATCTGAAAACATTTATTAATATATAAAGTATGAGGTTTGCTGAGGAAATTATTGGGGCTTTCAAAGATCTAAATGAAAATCTCCATGTAGAAGCAGAAAACTTGACTAAAATGTAAAGTGAATATTTTGTAGCTGTCATCAGAAGGGAACCTGATGATGTGAAGATTATATCAAAAGAGACAAGGGAAGTTATGGACTGCTTAGTAATAGAGGAGACATACTAAAATGATTAACATTTTTGAAAGTTGGTAAGCTTCGTATTCTGAATGGGATTCATGCTGTTGCTGGAAGAAGTAATGGTTGAAATAACAGAGGCATGAGTTGCAATCTTTCACATCGTGCACAGCCATAGTGCTAGAGTACTGGAATTTGCTAATGTTATACTACTGTTATAGGTGGGATGAATAATCCAGGAAATCTATCAAAAGGAGCTATCAAGAGGACCTGTAAAAAGTGTCAAACTTTCCTTCCAAACAGGGCTGTCATGAGATCTAAAAGTCCTTCCCTTTAAGTCTTTTGACAGTGTTAGAAATGATTGCTTGCTATTTCACTTTGACTGTTGACGTAAGCCCGATGGTTTACATTATCAGGTGCTGCCATCTCACAGTCTGATTGATAGTTACACATGATTATCGATGCTTTGATGCAGGACTATGAATTCCAATGCTTGTTGGTATTAGCAATTGTGCAACTGAACTAAGTATTTGTTATCATAACTTTATTCAGTTAAATGAATATAAATGTAGTAAATGTTTCTTTTTATGAAGAACAGTTTTTTGTCAATATAATGAAGTCCATACTTTGGCATGGGTTCCAGGTGAGGGACCATACTTTGGTATGGAGGCATGGTGGTACGTGAGGGAGGTTGTGGGTGTAAAGTGTGAGGACTGGAGAGATTTCATATGTCTTAGTCTTCTTTTTAAACTTCAGACAGAGTGCTAGATCCTCAAGTCAGGCTTCCTTGACATCCACTCCAATGCTCAGCAGCCTCATCTGTTCTTCCAGAATCAAATGCCACTGACTCCACACTGAAACTCTGATGCCTGGGCATCCATTTTTAAAGGTCTGGTTTGTGAAGCAGGGAAATTTCTAGTCTCTGTGCACCTGAATCCAAGTCTCTATCTAAAAGGTGATGGAATCTGATTTTATAAATAATTTTAAAGTGGAATTGGACATGTACTTGAAAATAGGAACGTGGATCCAGCACAGCTACTCTTTGAAGGAGCCAGCACAATACTTGAATGAAGTGTTTTTAGGAGTTTAGGCTAGCACTTCCACTGTAGAAATGAGACTGCTGCATTGTTGGAGCTATTGTCTTTCAGATAAGTAATGAAACTTTCTATTTTGTGTAAACAAGCCCATTGAGTTGCTTGCACAAGAGCATTATCCTTGCTAAGTCCATAAGAAATAGGAGCAGCAGTAGGCCATTTGGATCCTTCAGCCTGCTCTGCCATTCAAAAGGGCTATGGCTGATCCAACATTCCTCACATCCACTCTCCTGCATTTTTCCTGTAACCCTTGAATTCCCTACTGATCAAGAATCTATCTATCTCAACCCTTAAAGAAAAAAACTCTGCTCTCACAGCTCCCTGTAGTAAGGAGTTCCAAAGCCCCTCAAGCCTCTGAGAGGAGAAATTTCTCTTCATCTCAATCTTAAATTGGCACCTCTTTTTATTCTGAGACTATGCCCTCTGGTCCTAGAACTTACCTTGAGGGGAAATATCCTCTCAGCATTTACCCTGTCAAGACCTTTTAGGCTCCTAAATGTTTCAATGAGATCACCTGTCATTCTTCTAAACTCCAGTGAGTATAATCCCAATCTAGTTAACCTTTGCTCATACCAGGGATCATCACAGTGAACCTTCCCTGAACTGCCTGTAATGAGATGAAAGAAACAAATTACTGCAGACGCTGGAGATCACAGCAGTTCAGGCAGCATCCATTGGAGACAAAGCAAACTAACTTTTCAAGTCTAGATGACTCTTCGTCCCTCCATGGGTGCTGCCTGGCCTGCTGTGATCTCCAGCAATTTTGTTTACAATTAACTGATCTATGCTTAAACAAGGAGACTAAAACTGTTCAAAGTACTTCAGATGCGGTCTAACCAGCACCTTGTACAGTTGCATAGGACTTCCCCACTCTTGTACTCTAACCCCCTTTGAATAAGGACCAATATTTTATTCGCCTTCCTGACTACCTGCTGCACCTGTGCACTACCTTTCTGTGTTTCATGTACAAGTACCCCCAAGTCCCTTTGTATTGCATTTTTCTGCAGTTTTTCTCTAACTAAATAATAGTTATTTTGTTTAGCCTTCAAAAAATGAACAATGCCACATTTTCCACATCAAACTCAATTTGCCCACTTATTTAACATATCAATATCTGTCTGTAAACTGGTTGCAACCCTCTTGTGCTATAAGATTTGTTCTTTAACCAATGGATGAAGAAAAACTGATCTAGTTATTTCCTTTTGCAGGATCTTGCTGTACGTAATGATCGCAGTTTACTTACATTACAACAATGGTTACAATCCGAAATACTTTATTGGTTGCATGGGAAATGAAAGGTGCTATATAAAAGAAACTTCTTCTTTCATTTAATACAATAATATATACTTTATAGCTGGTGAGGTGGATGGAGCCTTTTCTTAAATTACCAAATCAATTTGAAACAGTTTTATTTTCATTTATTTGCAAAACTGATGTGAAGGGCCTATCTCAAGACAGGGTGACTTTTACAGGGAATAGTTGCTGTTTAGCTTGAAGAACATTGTCCTGGAAGATGAGAATAACAAGGTGTAGAGCTGGATGAACACAGCAGGCCAAGCAGCATCAGAGAAGCAGGAAAGCTTTCCTGCTCGGCCTGCTGTGTTCATCCAGCTTTACACCTTGTTATCTCAGATTCTCCAGCATCGGCAGTTTCTACTATCTCATTGTCTTGGAAGCATCTTTCTTAATGGGGAAGACTTGAAGGTTCTATTTTTATTATATTTATTTATGACACTTCAATTGTGGAGAAGGTGTCAGAAACTACTAACAAGAGACAACATTAATAGTTCCAATTTCTCTAATAACGTGCCATATGTTACATAAGCAGCGAAATAGTTCTAAGATACAGATAGATTGGAATAGACTTTGGCAAAATATATTGCTACTAAAAGCGATCTGAAAAAAGTGCACTATGCAACACAGGACAATCTTGTTTGCTGACGATTGTTTCAGTTTTTTAGTCACCTGCAGCACAACCCACACTTGTAAATTCAGATTGACTGGTGTTTCGCCTTCTTTATTCTGAATATTCACATCAGTGCTTAAGAGCACATAAAACTACATGCTCATTCTGTCCTTTTAAAAATTATATTTTTCCCTCAATAAGAATCAAACAGATTCTAAATTGATGTTTGAGAAAGGAGACTCCAATATATGGATTTAAACGATGTTTGCAATGGGAGACAGAAGGCCTCCTGACCAAGTGATCCTTCAGAGTGTGATCAAAAATGGAACCTTCTCCACTTGCTACTGTTTCAGTTTGACACTTCGGTTGGTGTGCAATTTTCGAACAGGAAGAGTCGCAGCGATTTTGACGGAAGTTGAGTGTCAGGTACCACCACCTCCCCCACTCCCGGTTCAGTGTAGGCCAGGCCCGGCCAGTCCAGCAGCGCCTCCCCCGGGGCCGCCGCTCGGCCGCAGCAATCCGGCGTCTCCACAAGCAGCTCAATGCCCGGATGTGACTGTCATGGCAGCTCATAGGGACCCTCTCACAACTTTCCAAAAACAAAAGGTAAGGCTTAAATCTGTGTGCAGGAAAAAAATACTAAACGCACCAGTCAAGACAGTGACCTGACGGGGTCCCTTCGGTTGCAAGCCGCCGCGGCTGCCATTCCCCGGGAATTCCAATACAAACTCTGAAGAAAATGTCGGCTCGCTCGCACCAGCCGTGGGCGGAGGACATTTTCGGGCTAAGAGTAAGTAGTGCAGCCGATAAAACGTCGGCAAATGCAGGTACTTGGAGGCCTGGCGTCGGAAAAACGGGGGAAGTGCTTTTGCGATGCCGTCGTTCTTTAAGCCGGTTCTTTGGGAGTTGCAAGTGCTTGGTTGAAAGGGAATACATCAACCAGTCTCTAAATTCCGCGTAAGTGTACACATCCGCCATTTTGACGGTGGGGTTAAATAGATTTCTATTCGTGATTTTCGGCCTCGGATCATGTCCACTGGAATAGGTCAGAATACTTCAATTGGATAAACGTATTGTTCAGACTTCTGTTTATCCGTTGTAGACTAGTGGTGAACTTTCAAAGCTGTTACCGCTGCATTGCCTGGTAGGCATTGTAAGTAGGTGGATTTGAATTGTACTTATTCACCTTGAAATTGTTTCAGTTCAAAATTTCGCTTTTGCTCCTTGGTCGTTTTTATGTGTGACACGTGTATTCTGTAGCCAGGACTAATTGAAAAATAAACTACCTACGTTGAGGCTTTTAAAATGTGATTTCACTTCAAAATGACAAATTCTTGAGTTGTCACGAAATTCGGTGTTGTGTAGTGATAGTCTTGTAACTCGAATAATTTACACCAGAATCCCATATTTTTATTTATGGCAGTGGGGAATTTGTGCTGTGTTTATGGATGTTTTGTTTCCGTTGCTTCTAGATAAGTGATATAGAAATCCGACGACAGTTATTGATCATCATTGTTGGCCAATTTAACTTAGTTCTATATATTGGATCGTGTGCCATGCCCAACCCTATTAAATTGCTTTCGTAAAGTGGAGTGAAAAAATATGAATTTACTGAATTGACCCATCTTGGGAATGTTTCCAATGAGATTGCACACTTGTGTCTTCCCTTCTTTCGCCTACCACCCCCCCCCCCCCCCCCGATAATTTAGTGAATTTTAATATTGATAGACTTGGATTGTTGAACACCAATCATTTATTCCCTCAATTGTAAACTGCTGTATAACGCCTTGATTCAGTATACTTTGGTTACTTAGTGGGTGGAATATCTTCTTGCTCTTTATTGTTTGGAGGGTTGTAGCATACCCAAAGCCCAAAGATGTTAGAAAATCTACAGCATAAACAAGTCTTTGTTCCAAAATCCCTTATTTGACAATTTGGTACCATTGTTATCTGTAGACCCCATTATTATTATTACGATGAGCCGCTATTTCTGTCTCTCTGCATCTATCCTCCTTCAGTTTTTGCACATCTGCAGCATTTTTGTCCACATCCTAACTCTGATCAAGACCTGTTTACCCATCATCTCTGTGTTTGCTGACCTCCATTTGGCTTCTAGTTGAGTGCTTTAATTTTAATTATTACTCCTGTCTCTTTCTTCCTCTGAAGACCTGTCTCCTTGATCAAATACTAATGTCTCATTTGTGGCACAGTTTTAAATGTTGAAGTTTCTGTGTAAGATCTTGGGACATCTTACCACATGAAAGACACTACATTAGTACACGTTGTCATTGGATATGTAATGCTAATAAATTTAGGTTGCTCATGTGCCAATTTTGAGTACTTAAGGTTGGTTGTCAAGAAAATGGATTTACATGAAAACCCACCAGTGTTTGACAGTATCTCTTTAAATAAATATTAATATTTCATACTTTGAAGATTTCTCAACAGAACAATTCTGTGTAAAGAGATCTTCTATAAAGTATTTAATATTTGAGAAGTGATCTACAAACACTGCATGAACTTAGATGGGTTTTTTACCCATTAACTGGGTGAAATATTAAACTCAATGTTACAAATGATTCTTCTATCTGAAAACTGCATGCTTTCCTAAATTTTGAGCAGATTCATGAAAACTGACATGTTCATTGGCTATGATGTTACTAAGACAATACAAAGCTGCACATCTTGGCTTGAACCCCACAGTTTTCTTTCAAGGCAAGTAATAAGATAACCACTATCTTGATTACTGGTTATGCTTGAAGATTGTGATGAAATTCAGTCTCATGCAGAAAGAATTGTATTGTTGGTTTTGCTTAATTAGTTTGTGTTTAACGAAGGATAACTTGAGTAAAGCTTAATTTTCAAAACTTCTGATGGATTGTTGTGGATGTATTACGGACATGAATGTCTCAAAAATTAAACTTCGGGAGGGCAGTTTGTTGATTTAGCCAATTTTAAAGATATGAAGCCAGCGCAGTTACCAAATCTTCCAAATACTGATTGCATTACAGTCTTATAATCCCCTTTGGAATACATATAATTGGGGTCAATGCTCAGTTCTGTTTTGAAATTTAATTTGTTGTGGAGTTGCCATTCATGGCTATCTAAGAGCATCTTGTTAAATATTTCCATTACTGTGGCAATAAGTAATGGCATGTGCCAATCTAGCGTCTTTTTCTTTTGGCAAGAGCAACCAGTAGCACAATTTATTTTATCTTCTAAATGTTTAATCTTGTACATATCAAGAACAATTTCATCTTCCTCATTTTCCTACATGCCTGAACAAATAGTAATCCACAGGAAACATCCTGTTGCAATTGTAAAAGTCACAAATACCACTCATTTAAGACAAGATTTTTATTATTTGCTATTAGTTAATAAAGAATAATGTGAAGAATAAATCCGGTATCTGAACATGACTAGTATTTGAAGTGAATATGCGTAAAAGAATGCTTCTGTATTTTGAAAAATGTTTCCATTTTCCTGAAAATACTGCAACTATTGGAGCACCCATATTTTAACACTTGCATTTTATAACTGAACAAATTGCGAAGTTAAGAGATGGAGTGGCAGGCATGTTCTGATTAGTGCAATGATTTGAAATGAAAATTTGGGCTTGTTGTGAAAATACATCTAATTAATTGAAAGCAAATGAACCAATACAGCAGATCCGCTGCGTTACCACACAGTGTATTGGACGTCTACTATTCAAATCATACAGGTTGGAACGTGAAAGGATATTTGGTTTGAGTTTGAAATGGGAAATGTGATGGTGAAGGTAGTGTCTCGGAACCAATTTTCCTCTGCCTGACTCTGCCCCTCCTGTCAGGGGGACATTACTTGGTTGGGTTTTGACCTGTGAAGCAGGGGCTGGGTTCCTTTTGGATGAAGGGTAAACTGATTAACAAGGTAAATATTTTTCTGATTTTTTTTATCAGTTGAGAGTCTATGGAAATGATACAGCATGGAAACAAACCCTTCAGCGCAACTTGTCCATGCTGAGCAGGTTTCCTAAACAGAACTTGTCCCATTTGCCTTTATTCGGCCCGTGTCCCTCTAGACATTTCCTACTGATGTACCTGTCCAAATGTCTTTCAAATGTTGTAATTGTACTCCCCTCTACCACTTCATCTGACAACTCTCACTCTCTCAATGTGAAAAAAGTTGCCTCTCGGGTCCCTTTAAAATCTTTCCCCTCTCGCCTTAAACTGATGCTCTCTAGTTTTGGACTTGCCTTCCCTCGGAAAAAGACTTTGGCTATTCATCTTATCCATGTCCCTCACGACTTTATAAATCTCTCTGCTTAAGGGGAAACGTCCCAGCCTATCCAGCTTCTCTTTATAACTAAGACCCTCGGTAACATCCTTGTAAGTCTATTTTGCACTACTAGTTTGAGGTAGAGAGACAATTCAGTTGTAAAATGATTGTTTTATTGCATCAGGAGGAACTGGCACTTGGGCTAATGTATAATTCTGTTGTCGAACCTAAAGAATATCACCATTCATACAAACACAACGATCATCATGTGATGTGGAAGTTTTCCACTTCTGTGACTGCCCGAGATCTTAGATCATGAAGAAGACCTGCTGGTTACTGTTTCAGATTGCATGTTTTCTTCAGTCTGCCCTTGTGCATCTGATTTTTCAACATGGCTGTTAGGGTGATGAAGATGCTGAAATCTTACTTGGGAGAGAGGGCTTTTGGTTGGAGCAGCCAATTTTTCTTTAAAGAACGTACATTAACTATGTTTAGCTATATAATTTTCATTCCTTATACATAAAGCTGAAAATACAATTTTTGAATAGTACCAGTTACATTAAGAGATGAAGTATTTTCCATGTCTAGGTAAGGACAATGTGTTTAGCTAGGTAGCAAAATGGAATACTTGTTGAGTGCAGGACCTAGGGTTGGCAATAATGATAGAGCAGCAGTGGTCCAATTGCATTGGAGTAATGTGAGAAAATAAAATGGTGACTTTGTAGTAGGAATTTCTGTCTTTTACATCGGCATTTTTCCGTGTGTGTGTGCGCGAGAGAGATTGAGAGAGAGACACTGACTAATAGCAACACAGATTAGAAGAAAGAGAAACGGGTTAACATTAAGGGGAGAAAGTGAAAGAAGGATAGGGATACAGTTCAAAAAAGTGGAGAGATCTACTGTCAAAATTCTCCGTTAATTTGATATTCTGTATACTTCTCCCCCCAACTCCCCTGGTTGCTGGTATGCTAATTTAAAACCACAGTTGCCATCTTTCCTATTCAACGCATTGTAAACTTTGCTCTTAAGTGACTTGCTGTGGTTTTTGCTTACCTAATGTAGCTTAAAAATGACTTTTCTAAAACAAAGCAAATAAACTATTGTGCTATTGTTTAATGTTTTCATTTTTTTTCTTACTATTTAGTAGCAGCTTCTTTTCTGTATTGTTTTGCAGTATCATGCGATAGATTGAAAGCACAAATTATTTCCAGACTCTACAAATTTTTAATCCTCCACTATTGGGAGTACTTTTATTTAACAGATATGAAAGTAGTCTCTCTTTCTGCTCCCTAACTTATTTGTTCTCTGGTTGTTTTGGTACTTTTTTGATCTGTCTTTGGAAAGGCTTTCTGTTCATAGGAAGAATTTCAAAATTACTTGTCCCTAATTGTTTTATAACTTTATAAGTGACATTTTTAAAAAAAAAAACAGGGTGAAGCTATTTCATAGAACAGACATTTATGATATATTAAGATGAAATAATCAAGTTTTTATGAAACATTGAGACTCTTGAGTCTATTATTAGGTCTGTCTTGGTTCATTCAAGACCTACTAATCTTGAGTGGCCCATAACTCTTTTTCGTTCATGGGATGTGGCTACTGCTAGCATTACTAGCATGTTACTTGCCCTTAATTGCTTTTGAGAAAGTGATGAACTTTGTGAGCATCTGTTGTTTCTGTGGTTAAGATACAGTTCTGTTAGGTAGAGAATTCCAGGATTATGATTCGGCAACAATGCAGGAAGGATGTTCTGTTTCCAGGTCTTGGAGGTATTGGTGAGTACATGCACTAATTTGTCCTTTTTTGGTGTAGAGGTGATAGACTTTGGGAAGAAAGTTTCAACAAGTTCTTGCAGCTTTTGTTTTTGGTAATGGTACACCCTGAAACTGTGGTGTACTGGTAGTAGAGGGAATGAATGTTTAAAATGTTGGACAGGTTACCACTCAAATTCCGGGTTTGCCCTGGTTTGTTCTAATCAACTTGCGTGTCATTGGAGTGGCGTTCATCTAGGCAAGTGGAGAATATTTCATCTTTCTACTGACTTGTGGCTTCTAGAGAAGGCCTGGGATTTGGAAGTCCAGAAGTGAGTCCCTCCAAGGAGAATGCTGTGACCTGCTCTTTTAGCCACAGTATTTAGGTTGCCTGTTCAGTTATGTTTCTGATCACTGGCAGTCTCATGATGATGGTGAAGATACAGTGATGCCAGAGTTGATAATTGTCAAGTAGAGGAGGTTAGATTCTCTTTTTAGCAATGTTATTGGCATGAATATTGTCCTGCCCTTGCTGCACATTGATATGGACTACTTCATTATTTATATGAGGAGTTGCGAATGGAACTCTAATTATTAGTAAATCTCTCCAATGAGGGAAGGTCATTGAAGTAGTTAAACATTTGGGCTGTGGTTAATATCCAAAGGAATTCCTGCTGTGACGTGGTGGGAATAAGATGATTGGCCTTCGGAAACTGGTATTGTTTTCCTTTTTGCTTGGTAGTACTCCAGTTTCCCCTTGATTCTCATTACCCTCAATTTTGCAAGTGGTCTTTGATTCTGCTTATTGTCAAATATTGTTTCAATGCTAAGATCTGCCATAATACCTCTGTAAATAAGCTCTTTTATCTATATTTGGATTAAGGTCCTAATGAAATCTGGATGCAAGTGGTGCTGACACATCTAACCTGAATGTGTGTGGTATTTTTAATCAACCTGTTTGGACATTTTGGCACCACCAGGATAGGTGGAACTTGAACCTGGATCTCCTGGCCCACAGGTAGAGGCACTATCACTGCTCATCAAAGCCCCCAGAGTATTTCTGTGCAGGTTTTAACATATTTTTCTAATCAGCCTGCTCCGAACTGTGTACCACTATACCATGAGCTCCTACCGAGGTTATTTCTGAGGGAGTGCCACATAATAACATATTTGACGAGGTCTTGCACCAAGACTAGGGGACACATTTTGAAGGTGAGAGGACAGAGATTTAAACAAAAAAGACATTTTAAAAAAAAGCAAACTTTTTACACAAGGTAGTTTGTGTGTGGAATGAACTTCCTGATGAAGTGCTGGATGCGGATACAATTACAACGTTTAAAAGATATTTGGATAAGTACATGACTAGGAAAAGTTTGGAGGCATATGGGCCAGGAGCAGGCAGATGAGATTAGTTTAGTTTGGAATTATGTTTGTCCCGGACTGGTTGGACCGAAGGGTCTGTTTCTGTGCTGTAAGACTCTGATGACTCTGACTTTGCTATTGGGAATAGTTTGGTAGGACAATTAGCTAGATTTGATTTGTACTGCTTTTTGTTGGCAGACATACCAGGACAATCTACACTGTTGTCAGATATTCGATAGTAACTGCATTGAAACACCATTATTGAAGGTTTGGCTAGTTCTGGAGCGCAAATCGTCATTAATACTGCTGCGATGTTGTCAGGACCCACAGCTTTCGATGTATTCAGTTGTCGTCAGCTGTTTTTCAGTTATATGAAATGAATTAATTGAAGAATGACTTATTTTGAAGACCTTAGGATGGATAGTTGGATCATTCAGTCAGCATTTCTGGATGAATATGGTTGATCAACCGTGTATTTTGCACTGATATTCTGGGCTCTGCCATCATCAAGGACAGGGATGTTTTTGCAGCTTCTTCCTCCTGTTGAATTATCTGTCACCATTCATGACTGCATATGGCAGGACTACAGAGAATACATTTGATCCATTGCATTGATTGTGGCATTATTTAGCTTTCTGTCTTAATACTGCTTCTGCTATTTAGCATATCTGAAAACCTGTGTTTCACTTTGAGGCTAGCACCCCATTTTATAAATATATATTGTTCTACACAAACCATTAAACTAGAGTTGATCCCTTGACTTGAAGGTAATAGTTGATGTGCTGAATGATGAGGCAACAGATTGTGGCTGTATGCATGCAGTTGGTAGCTGATGGCCCATAGTGTCTTGTATATAGAGTTGATCGATCTAGACTGGATCTGTTCTATTTAGAATGATGGCAATTCTGCAGAACACAGTGAGTGTTAGTACACAGATGCGACTCATCTCCATGAGGAGAAGGTAGGCATGACCGCCACAATCTTGTGGACAGACCCTTTTGTGATGGGGTAGATTTGAGAACAAGATTGAGTAGGGTTTCCTTTAATTCTTTCATCAGCTACTGTGTGCTGGGTCTGGCAGTTAGGACCTTTTGGAGTTTGAGAGTTGCAATGCTTCCAAGCCAAACCTCCTCACAGATGTCCAAGATCCTACCCAAATTAGATTCCTTGTCCATGTCTCTCATGTACAGTGCTGAAGCAGGGATATATGTGGTCATAAGCAGGAGGTTTAAAGTTGACACTTCTTTTCAAACCAGCATGAATAGGATGATTAGCTAAGGTATTTTTCCCAAGGGAGAGGAGCCCAAAATTAGACGGCATAAGTTTAAGGTGAGAGGGGAAAGATTTAAAAAGGACCTGAGGTGCAACTTTTTCACACACAGGGTGGTGCGTTTATGGAATGAGGTGGTGGAGGCAGTTACAATTACAGCCCATAAAAAGCATCTGGTATGTACATGAATAGGAAGGGTTAGATGAACATGGGCCAAATGCTAGCAAATGGGACTAGATCAGTTTAGGATATCTGGTCGGAATGGATGAGTTGGTCCTAAGGGTCTGTTTCCATGCTCTATAACAATGAATTTCTGTCAAACTAAGAGGATGATCCCATTTACTAGGTACATATAAAAAGATGTGTTGACCTGAGCAGGCGGTTAATGGAAAGCTAGTTAACCTGAAATGTTAACTTGCTTTCTGTCTCCATATGTGCTGCCTGATCAGCTGCGTGTTTCCAATATTTTCTGTTTTTCAAATTCCCTGCATATACAGCAATATACTTTATTTTGAGTTTACCTTCTGGGCCTAACCTAATAAGGAAAAACTTGCTCAATTTTAAGTTCAGTGTCAGTCAGAAGCCTGACGCTGGCTCAATGAAGTTAAGAAAACCCTGATGGGAATATTCTATTTATCTTTCTTTCTGTCTGACAAAAACTGTGTTTAGTTGAATTAAGGTGATATGTGAGCAACATAACTTTGTATGTTTTCGTGTCCCCAAAGCATTAGCCTAAGCCTCTGGGTTACTAGTCCAGTGATATTATGACTATCCTGATGAAAAGATGGTAATGACATTGTGTAATGTTAAAACATTGTTAATCCAGAGGCTCAGGCTAATGCTCTGGGGGCACGTGTACAAATTCCTCTTTGGCAGCTGGGCAAATTTTGACTTCAGTTGATTTTAAAACAGAAACAATCTGGAATTGAAAGATGGTCTCAGTCAAGATGGCTGTGAAACCAACATCAATTGTTAAAAATTTATCTATTTCACAAAGTTGTTTTAGGGAACGTACTCCGTATCCTTACTTGGTCTGGTATTTGTGAAAAATATGGTCTTGCCAGTGACATCCACATCCCAGGAAAAAAATAAAGGAAAAAATCAAAGCTGTCTAATCCAAATAGAACATTTCAGCATCCTTTGGAAGGATTCAAGAAGTGCATTGGAAAACATGAAAAACTACAATTTTGAGTACAGATGACAAAGGATGCCACTGGTTAACTATGCCCCATTTTAAAAAAAAAAAAATGCTTTTGTGGGCCATTTACGGGAGCGGTTAATACTGTTGCCTGCACCCAAGAATAAGTAGTAGGACCGAAGCTGTAACAGTATTTTTTTTGTTTGCTGGGACATACAGCCACCAAACAATGCTTAAACATTCATTTATAATTCTTTTTAATTGTTGGATTTCCAAAATTTCTCTTTAATTTTAATTGTCTTTTTTGAAATCGTGCAACAGAAGTTTTTGAGTTATGTAGTTACTGTAGGTCTTGTTCATGACAATTATTTTGTGCAGTACATTAGTGTCGTGTGCGCAATAGTTCAATTCAAAATGGTTTTTCTTTATTTTACAGAACTGCTATCACTCTGAAGAGTAATTTATAGCCTGGTTTTCCCTGAGCTAAAATATGGAGAAATGATCTTTCTCAGCCACCTTGTGATATGCAACAATTGGAAAGAGGACATCTAACAAGTCTCCGCAACATCCTTGCTTAACATTCCACCAAATTGAAATATGCAATCTGACCAGAAAAACTTTGCACAAATTAATGAAGCAAATGCTTTTGTAGGTGCAGTCAGCAAGAGATTTTGCAGAAGGAAGCTAACTTTGTCAACGGGAAACATTTTACAAAAGGACAAAGGAGCTGCACAAAAGTGTGCACGAGTTTCAACTATACCTTCGGTGACTCTGAATAATATTGTGAATAACCAGTCTTGCCAAGAGTTGAAATTTAAACTTAAAAATGTAAAAGTTGTTCTTTCAAGATTAGATGTACAGAAAAGCATCTCTCCACACTTGGTTGTAAATGACAGTAAGACATCACTAAGTAGATGCCAAACTGCAAGAAAATCCATGAGGAGAGGTGGCCTAGCTCGGGTGGACCATCCAATTATTTCTTTCAAGGATAGTTCTTTGCCGCAGTTATTGGGCGATGTATCTAAAACTTCACAGGGAGTGGCAAAAGGTGTACTAGTAAAGGTTCTACGTTTTAGCTGTGAAAAATGCAAAGATAGTGCTGAATACAACCCAAAACAGTTACTGAAACATTATCAGGAGTTGCATGCTGCAGATTTGCCTGTATATCCCTGTGAGTTGTGTAGTTTTACTGCTAATGATTTTCAGACACTGAGCCAACACCGATTGAAACATCGCACTCCTCTTCTTAAGTGTGAAGTTTGCAATGATGGTAAAATGTATACTCTACAAGAGCTGAGAAAACATTTAAATTGGAAACATGGTGTAAATGGTAATTTTCGCTGTGAAAAATGTCGGTTTTCTACGAAGGATCAAGGTACATTTATTCAGCACATTCACAGACATGATGTGATTCAGTACAAATGTGGTAAATGTGAGCATGTAAGTTACACAAAAGGTGAGTTTCAGAGACATCTTGTTGTACACACAGGAGCTTTTCCCTTTTGCTGCCAATACTGCAAATATGGTGCAACACGTAAAGACTATATTATAAAACACATTAATGCTGTCCACAAGGGCTTGACAGAAAGTAGCAGTTCAAAAACAGAAGTGGATTCATGTCAGAAAGGAAAATTGAAGAGTTCGGCAGGTCTGAAACTTGTTCTGAAAAGATATAAAAATGGGGTGTCTCGGAAAGTACAATGGAGAAAGAAAAGGCAAATACTGCATTTGTCAACTACAAAAGATAATGCTAAGAGATCTGATGATGCAACAAAGAAGTTCATCCAACCTGTACAACCGTCTCCAGTTGTAGATGTGGGTTTGAATGAAAAAGTAGTTGGTCCCAAAGATGCCAACATTGAGAAAGATGATAGCTGTAGGCTTTGGTCGCAGACTTCTAGTCTACAGAAGGCAGCAGATGTAAATAGCTCTAAACAAACAGCTATAAAAATTGTCCCATTTCAGCCCCCTGTCCTAATACTAAAGAATAAGTTATCGGTGCCACCTAACTATAGTGCTCAATTTATGGGCTTCAAAGTTGTAAATGGCAAACAACATTTAGTATTGAAGCTAATACCTACATGTAAACAAAATGCAAGTGCTTCAGATTCTCAAACTAAAGCTAGTAATGATGGTTCTTTATGTTTGCCTCAGAACACAGGAAATTCAGATGTTAAATTACCCTGTACACAAGCATCACATGTGAATGCAGAATTCATTAGATTATCAAATATTTTGACAAATCAGCCTCATGCATTCATGGTAACGGACAATTCTACGGCGCCAAAGATACAAACTTCAGTTCCACAGATATCTCACACACTTTCCATAACGAGTGATAAGTTTGCTCAGGTTAAGACAATAGAGCCATTAACTGTAGGTATGAATTCATCTCTCACAGGTAAGTTATTACTGCCAACATCATCTTTGAATCTAATTGAGTCCACAATAAGCAAAACTAGACCAGATAACCAAATTAAACAAAACAAGACTGCAACCCCAGAAGGATCATCTTTATCAGACAGTTGTTCATCTCAGACATTTGTATCTTCAACTATTAACCAAATTTCTTCAAAAGGATTGCAATGCTTAAAGGAGCAGGCTTCCAGTGGAAAAATGATGTCTCCTTCAGACTGTGATGCTTCATTACAATCCATAAAAGGTTGCCATTTGCCTTTTATTCACAATTATGCTAAGGTGAAGATTTCTACTTCAAATCAATCTTCTGGCTTGATAGTGCAGGGTAATAATTCAAAGCCAACAACAATTTCGCAACCATCAGTTCTTCCTCAAAGTTCCTTTAAAGATGAATCAAGCTCTGGGCAGCCACATAATCTAGAAGCTCATAGAATTCATATGTCAAGCCTTCAACAGCTGCAATGTATTGTAACTTCTCAAGCCTCTACAAATTCAAAATATGATCCATTAAGTGGTAAGGTTTCAACAGCTAGCACTTCAAGTTCTAGCGAACCATCATCAACAAGCATTTCATCCCAGTTGCTGCTTGGCTGTCAAAATCCAGGTAGCCAAGGTATGAATGAATTTAATTCGCCAATGATTCTGCAAATACGGGAACCTTCTGAAATTGTTGAAGAATCTGATGTAGGCAGAAAATCAGTGGCATCAAAAAATATTACTCAGTTGTCTACAGTATGTACAAGTTCTACAGCATCAAGTTCTAATGTCTTTTCTGCTTCAAGTGAACTTGGAGCTGAAACTCTAAACCCAAGATGTGGTGATCTCTGTAGTAATTCTGTAGTTGAGTGTAAGCTTAATTCTTGCTATGCAGTATTAAGCACAGGTGTTTCAGAGCAAAGTATCTGTCCCATCAATGTTGAGGAACCTAACCAAGTTAATCATGATAAATGTTTGCATAATTTAAATTTACATTCTACAGAAGTACCGATATTGGAAAAATGTGAGTCTGAAGCCTCAAAGGTTAGTGAAATGGAATTCAAAAATGTCCATGAAATACCAACTGGCCAAAATTGTATGGAAGTGCAGAGACAACATGAGCTTAAGTGTACAAGTAATCGGTCCTCTACAACAGATTGGATACCTTGCTTGGAGGGAAATGCTAAATTTCATCCACTCCACTGTTTTGAAACGATTTCTAGCGATAGCTCAGGTTCACAGGAAGAGATCCTGGATTACAGTAGATCAGAATCATTTTCAGAAATATCAACTTGTCTAAGTAAACCAGATGTAGAGATGATGGACTGTTCTATCATCGATAACAAGGATCACAGTGTTACTGCAGAAGGCTTGTTGGAAGAGCAAGTTAGTGAGCGTAGTGTTTCCCCAGTAATGCCTAGAATTACATCTGTGTTCTCATTGCAGACTGGGGATGGAATGAGTTGCTTGGCTCCTGAAGAAAATCAGTTACTACTTGATGCATTGAAAGCCTCTTCCATATTTGGTGATGAAAATTCTTGCAGTGGATCACAGTCTCCTCAAAATAGTCCTCCTAGTTTTCCAGAAAAACAGACTAGTATATCTACTGCAACAAACAAAATGGATTTACATAATTATTCTATTAAGCAGGGCTCTTGGTCTGCACAGTTGGATTGTCTAAATGATAGCTGTGATTTGAGTACTGACAAATCTCTAGGTGAGAAAAAAACACTGCAGACCCTATCTCCACCTGTATCAAGCAGTTGCATGCCACCAAATGTTGAAAAATTGAACACACTGTTAAAGACACATTCTGCTGAAATAATTAACCAGCAGTTGTTAAAGGATGCAATCCGTACCTCTGCTAATGTGAGCAGTAACTCCGCTGTAGCACCTGTCACACTTCTGGGTCCTTTGCGTCTTGCTGGTATCACTAAATCAGTTCTAATCCAACCATCACAGAAAAGTTCTGCAGTGCCCTTACATTTGACAAAACAGTCTAGATTGCACATAGTCTCTGGGGGATCAGTTCCACAGCCAAAAGTTGTTACTGCAAACTCTGCCTCCCTGCCAGATAAGGGGTCTGGTTTAATACTTACTTTTGGAAATGGAACTCTTGGTGCAGTTGCTAGTATTGTTTGTGGTGGCACTCCTCCGACATTGAATGGAACAAGTGCCTGTGTACAAGGACAAACACCAGTATCTGCCAAGATCACGCAAAATACGTGTTCATTAACCAGTGATTCCAGAGTAGATTGCATGAAGACCACACCAGTAAACAGTTTGTCTTTCAATGATACTTTGCCTAAAGATCCAGTTTCCACTGTGTTTGATCATCATTCTTATGCAAAGCTTGCTTTTGATATTAATAACAGTAATACAGCTGAGAAAGGTGCATTAAACATAAATGATCAGGATAAAAAAATATTTATTGAACCACTTGAAAATATTACATCATCTGTTTCAAATAATTCTCCCTCGGTTCCGCTAAGGCAAGGGACTGTTTTGGGTTGTGAGAACACACCAAGTACAAATTCTGAAAATGTATCAGACCAACAAACTGTTGTGCTTCAATGTATTGCAAAGAAACCTACTGAAACTAGAAGTGAAGACGCTGTGACAAATTTTAGTCCTATAACTGAAGAAAATGGGCCATTTCAGAAGAAAATTTTCTTGAGATTTATTAAAAGTTCTAATGGGGAGTCAGGAATGAAAAGTAATCAACTTCTGACAAATTCCATGGCACTTCACAGTGATGCTGCAGGTGACTTGACTAAGTCTTTACAGCAGCCAAGTCAGACTGCGTTGTTTGCTGGTGGCTCTCCATGTATCCTGCTACCAGTGAATAAACCTGTGCCCTCAACTCCTGCAAATGACAACAACCCTCCTCAACTTGGTGCTCAGACTTCTCTTAAACTTCCTATTCCTCCAGCTCCCAGAAGTTCATCCATTCGTTCTGCTGAGAAAAGAAATGCTAACAAAGTCTCTTCGGTTTCTTCTCTGAGATCTGCAACAAAACCAATCTGCAGATGGGATGATGAGGAGTCTGATGAGCTGTGGCAGCCACGGAAATCATGTAATGAAAAACTTGTTTTCAGATATAGCAAGCGACTAAAAAAAAAGTTGGAGAATTCTGAAAATCAATCAAAAACAGTATCCAGTAGCTTTAATGAACTTCAAGAAATAGAGCGAGAACGAAAAAATCCTCCTGAAGTTAAGAATATCGCATCTCGGCGTAGCATCGTAAAAACCCTAAGACTTGTACCTTTTGATCATGGGCAGCTTATTAGATGTCCCAGAAGAAACCAACCTGTGATAGTGCTTAATCATCCTGATGTCGATGTCCCTGAAGTGGTTAATGTCATGAAAACCATTAAAAAATGTAAAGGAAATGTTCTCAAAGTAGTTTTATCAAAAAGAACAATATGTGCTTTGTTGGATGCTTGTAGCAGTTTGCAGGTAGCTGAGAAAGGTTTCCTCCTCAATCAGTGCAAAAAGATAAAACCAGTAAGCCCTGTAAAGGAAAGATATGTGCTGAAGTTAAAATTGAAAAAGACAAGCAAGAACAATTATCAGATTGTAAAAACCGTTTCGAATAAAGCTGTTGAGGCTAAATTCAGCTGCTGGTTTTGTGGTCGAATATTTGATAACCAGGAGGATTGGGTGGGTCATGGTCAACGTCATTTAATGGAAGCTACAAGAGATTGGAATAGCTTGACTTGTTGATAATGCATTAAGTATCAAAAAGTCTAAGATAGAAAGTAATTTGTGATGTTGATGTTTTGCCTTTGTCCAGTTCACTGCACCACTTCAGCTGTTAATGTAAATTTAGTGGAGTGGAACTGTCTTCTGAAATCTGGATGAGAGAAAAGCATTTAAATGTGAATGTACTTAAAGGCCTTTATTGAGTGTTTTACAGTATTTTTTTGCTTTGAACTGTTTGTAACAATGGCACTGGCACAGTGTTGGGCTTTACCTAATAGTTTGGATAACACTAATTAAATACACTCTTCAGAGAATTTGGAAATAACAATTTTCTTTCAGGTTTTATTTTGACCTAAAATCTTCATCAAAGAGGGGTAATATTATGTGGTGTAAATTTATTTTATCATTGAAAATTTGCTAAAGTGAACTTGATTCAAATAATTGTAATGTCTTGATTACTGATGTACTGTTTAGCACAGTTTGTGTGCTGGACCCAAGCAAAGACAATCATTTGTACTTCTAACCGCTGTTTGCTCTACAATAAGTTGCTACAAAATGATTAAACAAACTGTTTTTAGATTTCTAAATATTTGACTCCCAGTTTTCTGCTGTCCTGATTACCCTCCATTCAGTGAATTGTCATAAAATGTAGAAATCTTTGATACATTTTATTTTGTGATTATATACCATGCAGTGGGGTAAGCAGTGCAGTTTTAAAAATTCAGGCATTTGGTATCTGACTGGCTTTTATTACTGACTATTAATTCATTGTCTGGATGGGGGGGACGCAGTTGGCTACGGGGCTGGTTTTCATTGCAGTGTTGCCAACAGCACTGGCTCAGTTCCTGCACCGGCTGAGTTTACCATGAAGGTCCCACCTCAGCCTCGCTCCTCGCTTGAGGTGTGGTGAATCTCTGGTTAAACCACCAGTCATCTTTCTTTAATAAGCCCTCTGGGACTGTGGTGACTTTTACTCACTTACTGTAAGATGCATGACCATAGAGTGAACCAGAATAATTCTGGGGTATATCTTGATGTGCATACTTTTCAAGAGCTGTAGCATGCTGTAGTGAACTCATGGTTCCAAAGCAGGGTGGAGAATAAAGATCCAATGCTAAATGTGATCTTTTTAATAGCATTCATAGTTTCTTCTTTTCAAATTCTTTTCTTGGAATCAGAAAAGAATATGAGAGACTTTATTGAAAGGAATGCAGTCTTTGAAATGGTTTGTGTATGGCTGTAGGTTCAATGTTTGGCAGGGCAGTGGTGAAAGAGAAAGATGACTAATTGGATAGCCCTTTCAAAGAGTGTAATGATTAAAGTAGCCTCCTCTGTATTGTGATGCAGTGATTCTATGACTGCGAATACGTGAAAATAAAATTATTGTGAAGATCAGGATGGATGCAGACACCTAAGGGCCTTGACTACTCCAGGCACAAGGAAATTGTGGCTGGTTTGTTCACTTAACGTATGCACTATCACCTCTTGAAACTAATGGAAGATGCCAATGTTAGGGGGGAGAGTTATGGAAAAGAAGGTAGGTTTGAATATTGTTTTATATATATCTGATAATTTGAAAGAATGCAAATTAATGTGAATGTAATTTGCCAATGTTTGTATCCTGATATTTGAATGGCTGCTTGCATTTGAGCCTGTCCTGCTTGCCATGTTTAAAACATGCATCTATTGAATGATCTGTCCAAACTATTATAAATTCAGTAATTTACTACTTCTGTAGACTAATTTGACCATGAACCTTTGAAAATCTCTGCTGTGGTAAAATTTATACTGTTTATTGTAGATTATAGTTGTGCAGTCTGAATTTGGGTTTCTGCCATTCTGCAGATGTGCAAAGGTGCTAGTAGTTCTCTAGGACTCTATTTTTGAGCAGTACGCAAGTGTTCTATTTTTCTATTCTTTAATTTTAAAAACGTGTAGAGACAACCTGTTTTTATAACCAAGCATAAAGCAAATATTTATGTAAGATTAAATTGTTATATATTTTTACATTAATGGTTTGTTGTATTAAGCAATTTCTAAAGAAATCCTTGGTTTTGGAGCATAATTTCAGTTGACTAGTAAATGCATCAAAAGGAATACTTGGATATGACATACGTTTAATGTGGATAGGTGTCTTGCTTTAGTTTTTTTCTATGTACTAATAAATAAACAATTGTTTGCTGGAGTTGAAATTGGAGACTTCTTGGTTTATTGGAAATGGATTTGAATCAGTTCCAAATGACTAATCTCAAAACCTTAACACGTTTTATAGCTGTATGCTACTAGTTTTGGGTTATTCCTCTCCAAGCTATTACTAATGCATGTTATTTTGAATACATATGTACACTTTCTTCAGAAATAAAGTTAATTGAAAGCAATTTGTGACTTTTCTTGCCTACCTTCATAACCATATACATTTATGCTAACTGTCAAAATAAATCTGTTTCATACTTTATACATTATTTTGGTTTGCAGAAACTACACAATTTCAGATCTATGTTCTATTGGAAAATTTGTGTATGTGCAATGAGAATTCTTGCCTATTAGGTATACTGTTGAAAAACAATCCTTCTGTATGCAAAACCAATATGAGAGGAAATTTTCTTAGAATGTGCAGGACTGGTAAAGATCATTGTTTTACTCCTAGCGATTAGAAATGCTTTGGCAACAAAGTTACTTGCTAACAGTTTTACTAAATCTTTAATTTGTCTGACCCTTCTATTAATGAATTGTAGACACTATTGAAATATTTAGTGGACAGGTTACTTTCTGGGATGTGTGACTGCACTGTTAACATATTTTCTTCTTACAGAGTACTTATCTGTAATTTTGGATTCTCAGCATCTGCATTATTTTCATTTTAACTCTTCAAAATTAGACAGTTAATTCCATTTATTCTTTTACCTTAAATAGTTAAATCTGAACTAAACATGAAGCTGCTTTTTGCAATGTTATCTAGGTTTAAAAATATCTTTTGTATAATTTATTAATGTTTATTTGATCTAATATCTCTTTAGAGTCCAGAGCCTTCACCCACGAGTCTTTTCTGTGTCAGAATTCCCAGCTTCTTCAGTGTGTCTTCAGCTCTGGTGCCTCTAAACTCCCTCTTGCTGCAAGGTTTCCAATGTTTGAATGTCTTGTTGGTGATCAAAATTATATATAGTTAATACACTGAGAATTCGGCTTTCTGCAAATGAAAAAGCACAAGATCTATCTTGTTGTCTTTGCTACTGCTGCATACTGCTGATTGGCTGAGTGATCTTTTCATTTTGTACTACTGATGTCATGCTTCCTCTTGAAGGACAGTGCTATCTAATTTCTATTGCCGCTATTTAATAGCAGTTTCCAATTTTGTGACTAGATAAGTAAATAAATAGGTTTTAATATTTAAGGTAGGCAAATGAAAAGGACACGCAATGTAAATACCTCAATTTCTTTGGATGTGCAAACATATATGAACGTGATTTCTGGAGAACTTGATGGAAGTATTGTGTTCTTAAAATATGATAGCAAGGCCAATCTATGCCCTAAGACCAATTCAGGCTTTTTCCTTTAATCCCTTTGTCCTGTTTTCTCTCTTGTCCTCTGGAATTGGTGGATGGGTGCATTTGATGCACTTGTCATTATTATATAAACTTTTTTGCTAATAAAGAATGACAAATTGAAGGGTTTGTCACATCAAAACTCAGTCCTACCCTAGCTAGCTGATGCCCCACATATTCAGTACCAAAGGCAGTCGGATTTGAGATCTTTCTCTTAAGCAAGTACAGTGAAAAGTCTTGCCTTTCTATAACAACTTATATCCTGCTTTTTAAAGTGCTGCTAAAGTCTTGCACATCGATTAAATCTTATGGTCATTTCTAGGCTATGCAATGTTTCAGTTGTTTCTCTGAAATTCTGGATATCCTGCAATAAAATTAATGAATACAAATAAGAGAAATGGAGTAGCAGCAAAAAAAGTCCATGTTCCCATGGTCTATACTGTTGTGCTTTTCTATCTGAGGGTTACATTTTTGAGAGATTGTGCTTTAATAGTGTACTTTTTATATCGTGAGTGCTGTGCTTAAAAACGGGATGTGTTGAATCAACATTTGGACCATCTTGCAAAGCATATTCCAGTTTTGTTTGTTTTTTCTTGAACAATTATTTGACAGAATGGAAACAATATCTAGTCATGATGCTGAAATGTAGCAAATCTTGCTTATTTTAATGGAAACTTCACCAAAGACGCAGATTTCACCCCATGTTCACATTATGCCTCAATTCTAGTAAGTAACTAGTGGTGAAAATGAGGAGATGGAAGCTGAGATAACAAGGTGTAGAGCTGGATGAACACAGCAAGCCAAGCAGCATCAGAGGAGCAGGAAGGCTGACGTTTCGGGCCTAGA